GTCGACATTGTCCATCACTTTGTGGGGTGAGTGCCATATGTAAGGCTATTGGATCGTTTGTAAAGAATTTAGAATTTCACACTGATCAAGATTATATATACTTCATAGGGCCTATGAAGCTTCCTTTTGTGTGTCACGTACATTATGAAAAAAAACAAGATGACTATATCTCCATTCTTCAGCGGTGGGTATAAAAATAATTATAAATTTGGACTATCCTCATAAGTGCATAAACCTCGAAGTGATTCTGAACCATTTCCAATAGCATTCGTCTTTGGACCAAAACAGGTTAGCTTATCAAATTTCATCAAAACGTTTTAAACATTGCGACGTCTTGGTTGGAAATAGGAGAACAAGACAAACAGATGGACATACAGACAAGCGAGGACGGTCTATTTAAAGTGCTACCCTAGCATCACAGGTGGTGGTGTAGAGTAACGCTAACAAGCTTGTAAATTCAAACGCATAGAATTTGGTTGCTTCCCACTGTTCAAGGGTCAATATATCAACCCAACAGTAACAACAGCTTGTCAACCCTAGTTTTCAGTTTTATATTATTAGTTACATAATTTGTAAAATTTTTTAATTTCCAGCAATTTTGCTTATGCTTATCACGTACACACACACACACGTGCACCTGTGCTTATCTAAACAAAAGAATCTATTCAGTAATTAGTTCGTTACAAAAGATTAAGTCGCTAATTATATCACCGGCACCCTTAAGACCAAATACAAATTTCATGTTACGTTGACAAAATGTATAAAACAATGTAGCGAAAATATTTCAAATCAACTTTTGCCACATTATTCATATATGCGGGTTTTCCTGAAACTCATTAAATAACTTTTTTTCTTTTTTTTTTTTAAATAACAACAACAATAACAGTATAAAAGTAATAAATAAATAAAAATTTTGCTTTTATCGTATGTAGACGGCAGTCAACTAAATAATGGTTAAGTATACACCATAATTATATAGAAAGATGACGAGCAACAATAGCAACAATAATATAATAACAACAATCCCGGTGTATATGATGATGGATGAATAAATGGAAAAATGGAAGAAGAAGAAACGATATAAGAAAAAAATAAAAATAAAAAGGGGAAAAAAATAAATAATTTACAACTAACATGACAAGACATAGTTGAGGCTCATAACAACACTAACAACAATCACACGTTGTACATAAATGAAGAAAATTGATAGTATAGTTGGGGTTATTACGTTGTATGCTTCGTTGATCGGTTTGGTTGGGTGATGGTTCGCTTCGGTAAGTAATGGCATGCTCATCCGTGTATACGTAGAGCAATAACAACAATAATAACAAAAGCAACATTCTTTTTTTTGTTTTATAACATTATTATTATTATTGTTATTGTTGTTATTGTAATCGTTGCATTGTTGGTATATTTAATGTGTGTATTTTCATCATCATAAAATTGGAATTAAACGTTTTGCAAAAACATGACATTAAAAGTGCGTGACTCGATTTTCATAAAAGACGCAAATTGTTTTCCACATTTTTTCTGCATTTCTCTTTTGCATTTTATTATTATGTATAACAAAAAACAAAAAACAACAACAACAACAACAATAACAAGAACCAAACGAACAAAAACATGAGAAGATGTTATAAAGCGATTGCGCTGCAACAGGAGGAGGCGAATGCGTTGCACATGCGCTTCTTTAGGAAACATGAATACACGAATTGTAGACCGATAACACACGAGCAGTTAATATTGCCACCACACTACACAACAACAATAACAACAACTACAATTGCAACGTTTACACTTACCATATATACTACGTTGAAACACCACATCAACAGTCTGCTCGTCATTGCTATCGTATCGGATCACATCACTATCATTGCTGGCAGTCATGTGCATCATTAGCATCATAATCGACACACACAGCAATCTTGAAAGCACAAAAGTTATGTGCTGCTCCTTCAGTCTTTCGCAGGTTACCTTACACAAGTAAACGACAGCAAAAACACAGTGATATCAAACTTGGGCGTTTCAAGTGTTTAGGGCCCCTTTTGATCTTCTCAAGCAGTTCTGATAAAATTGTAAAAAATATTCTATAGAAGCAAGTAAATGTTAACCTGACACGTTGTTTAAATACGCATAGTTTATAAGTCCACTTACTGCTCGCTTGGAGTCTCTCTCAAACGCTTATTAGCTGAGAACTGAGAAGTTACTAAGCATTTTACATGTTAAGGCTTTTTTCGATGCTTTGTTTTTTGAAATTTTAAAAATTCTCATCTTAGTTAAGATGATCTGCATGATTACAAATCTTGCATCACGTGAGTCCTTAATTAGGGCCCTTTTAGGTGATAGTGTAAAGTTAGGGCAACCGCGATACGAGAACACCGTCGCATGCGCTTGATGTTGATCTTGTTGTTGACTTTTGTGTTTCTATATCACTTAGTCCTTATAGTGCTGTTGAATTGTAACTGGAAGCAAAAAAAAAAAAGGTAACAATTTTTTGACGCTCTCTGGTGATGTGTTTTTGTAATTTATATTGTGCCTGCATGTGTTGCGCATTTAAACCTGCATGCAATAAAACTCTTTACATTGTGTCGTATGTCTTACAACGGTCAGGGCGTGTCAATAAATTATAAGGTTGGGTTACTTTTTAAAACAAAGGAAACTTTCAAAAGAAAATTATAGTGCGTGCAAATGTTCTTGTGAACATGAAATTATAATTTCCATTTTTTTCTTCCTTCCTCTCGTTTCAATTCCTCCATTTATCATTATTCGCTTTCTTTCCGGATTGTCTACTTTTAGGGTTTTTCCGTAGGCGCAATAACAGAAACAGCAACGATGATGAAGATACCAATGATAATGATGATGGTGATGAGGACGTTGTTGATAAACAATGCATATTAAAATTATTAAACGGTTATTTATGCATCAACTTACGTATCATACTTGCTGTAATAATGATAATGTTGTCTATTTATTATATGAACACAAGATACTTTTTTATTTTTCTTTCTTTCTTTTTTTTTTTGTCATACCCTACGCCTGTATGTGCAAGGGTATGATTGCGCAATCAAATGATTTAAAATCGATTTTCTCAATTCACATAAGTCTGTCTGGCTGTCCTTTTGAATTCCGTTCATCTATCATTGCTTTCAATATAACAATCAAAAATTTTCGAGATATTTCGAAGTAATTTGGCATACAGGGGCAGGCTCTGGTGAAAAACCGTTTAATGAGACCTATGCCACATGCATTTGAAAAGTAATGTTTCAGCGTATTACCTATATGTGGAAAATTTGATTCGGATGGATCGGCTTTGCTGCGATAAGTTTGGATCACACAAGTGCATTTTCAAAGCTCCTTTCGCATATAAGATTTCTATTAAACGTAAAGCTTTATATAATAAGATCTAACGTTTGGCTGCCTTATAACGAGAATACGTAAAATACTTTGTTATAGGAGGTGAGGGAATTTAATAGTCGACCTTGCCCAAGTATAGCGTTTTGTATTGTCTCCGCTTCATTTATTTGATAATTTGTTTTTTATGCATTTTTTATGCATAATTAATGTGCCGTAAATGAATATATGTTGCATAAAAATTCTTTTCAATTTCGAACAATTACTTTATGATTATATACGCCTCGCAGCAAATTTTGGTAGAAGTATGTGAAGATCTTTCAGGTTTTTGTTGCATATTTGTGTATATTACTATGCCAATTACACAGTAACCTTCTTCATTAAAAAAAAAATTGGCACAAGTGATAAGCTAACGGAAAAACGAGTTAAAAATTTGTAGTCAGTCCTCACCGTTAAATACAATTCATCAGTGCGTAATGTTTGTATCAAGTATACAAAGATGTTCTCTGTACTTTTTTCATTACATTCAAAGATAATTAAAAAATACTTGTTACACAGGTTAACAATTGCAATATGTCATGTGCCCCTTATCGGATAGCTTCCGGATATCCGCCGGGCTAAAAACTTCACAGTTTCAGGGCGAAATAATTATCGAGCCATGTTCGCATGTCTACAAATTTGCAGAGCCATTTATCTGCTAAATATGATTGCATCGATTTGATCCAGCGTTAAATAAAAGAAAGCAGCTCTGCAGAATATGCCGCCGTCGGGAGAAGTTTCCAGACCAACTTCAAGATCACTTCGTGGTCTGTCAACGGACGGACGTGCTCGAACGTTCATCGTTCTCAAAATTAACATTTTTTACGGGAAATCTTGCAAATCATTTTCTAACTATTGCACAGCTTACTGTATTTGCACTCTCAGCCAATTCGATCATTCAATCATCGACCTAAAAGATCTGTTGTCCCCGCCGATGCCGTTGATATGAGAAAATGCGTATTAAAAGAAATCCTCCACTGACGGATAATTTGGATCCAGGAAGGCGATCACGCTATACATGGAAGATGGCAATACATAGAAAATCACACAAAGAAAAACAAAAAAAAAAAATGTCGAAACAATTCACTATATTTTACGACACTGCTCTGATCAATAACAATGTATGTACGGATATGTAAATAGATTTACATTAATTTCTTGAAGTGTGTTGACGTAAACCTTTGGAAAAAGAAAAAAATTTTGTGCGTTTAATAAAGCAAAAAAAAAAAGAAAAAAAAAGGAAAAAACTATTGAATCATAATTAATAGTCAGTATTGTCCAAAAATTTGCCTAAAAAAATCAATTTAAACAAAGCGAGTACTCCTTAAAAGGCATAAGGCTTAAGGAGATTTTTTTACAACTACAAAATTGAAGCGTTCGATTTGAATTGATGGTCTCGCAAAGCTGTTAATACTGTCGTCAGTGAGTTGATGATATTAATTCAGTGAGCTGACGATATATCGACTGGGTGATTCAAGTACCCATAGAAGGCCCAAGGAAGAACATTATTTGAAATTGAACTTCAAGTGCGACACTTGAAGAGCAAAATATTGCTCAATAAAAACCAACGACGTAAGGCGACAGTGTCATCTGATTCATTTTGAAAAATGAACACTAACCGCACTAACGGCTATCACAGTAAAGTGAATAATGCTGAAGCAAATAGTGCTAAAGCAAACGGTACTGATGCTCTGTTGGATACTTCGCCACATGCGTCTGCAAGTTCACGCTGTCGCACGGATAGCGACAGCTCAGACAAACTCACACGTTTCATTCTGCCTAGCATGAATGGTAGCCCACCAAAGGTGTTGACTTTAAACGAACTCGCTACTGTTTTCAAAAACATACAAAATATGGAGTTAGCTCACGAAATAGCTTTGAACTTGGAATTTAAGCTACAGCTGTACGAGCCGCCCGAAAATAGCTTGGAAAGACGTATAAAAGACATTTTGCATAAATCATTTTGGGATAATTTACGCGAAGAATTGAATCAAACAACTCCATGTTATAACCATGCCATACAAGTGCTCGACGATGTTAAAAAATGTTTTCCTCAAATTCTCTCGCCGGCTAATAAACGTACCTTGCAGCATATAAATGAGGTGCTCGATGAGGCCCTGATAAGACAACAAGCCGAGAAAGGTGTCTTAGATTTTAGATCATATGCCGATTTTGTTATACAGATTATGGGAAAATCTTGTGCCCCGGCTCGTGATGAACTCATACAGAATTTGACTAAAATCGAAGATGTTGTGAGTACATTTAAGGCCATCTTAGAAACGATGACCCTTATGAAACTCGATATGGCCAATTTTCTGTTGGATTTTTTTCGTAATGACATTATGGCTAATTCGGCCGAGTATGAGAAACAAAAATTCAATAAATATTTAGAATATTATAAATTTGGCTTTCCCGCCACCCAAAGTTGGCTTAATCGCCATCGTACTCGCGATCCGAATAATGCAGCCAGTTCCGTCTATCAAATCATTACCAGTGCGTATATGGAATTTATGGACTGGCCGGATGATGTAGAATTTCCTGAAGTTTTATCCATCGATAAAGAACGTACCTTAAAACTCGGTTTACGCGCTAAGCGATTATGCATTTGTGCTTCTTTAGCTTCGATTTGTTTAGCGGTACCTATAATATCGCAACGCCCCTATAATCGCATCGAATTGGGTAAGCAATTTGAAATTTTAATACAGAATATGTATGATGATAACAACGCTGCGGATGCCGTAATGGAGAATGTATGGGAACAAGTCAAAATTAAAATTAATCAGTATTTGCAAAAAGAACAAAAATCCGTCATGGATAAGGCATCCGAGAGTATGCTTAAGACTCAAGTCTTGCAAATCGCTAATAAAGATGCGCCGGTACGACAATTAATGTGGAGACGCTTGCAAACTTATTTTCGCTTAATGTTGGACCTTAAGATGGGATCGGCTCCGGCCCCACCGCCTGGTTTTATCGATTTTAAAGGTGAACTCGAATCGTACGCACTAGCTTTGAGGCGTATTATCGCTTACAATCATTCAGTATTCGGTGATTATTTCTCACAAATACTGAATAGAGATCATGCTGAAAACTCTGAAGCAAATGACAAAAATCAAACTAAAATTTTTATGAATGAAGATAAAAAGCATAATTTAATAGCTAGCGACGTTGCTCAACCTCATCAATAATTAGTCAAAATGTTATTGTTCAGGAAATCGCGATATGGGACGATTAGCGTACTATTTTGTTTTCATATATAAGGCTTTTATTGTTTTGTAAATTCATTTGGAAAAGCATGCGAGTCATATCCGAATGTGAATAATAAGTAGTTATAACATTCAGCATATAATGGCTAACCTTACGTATCACTCGTTGTATGCTTTGTGCAACCAATTGGCGCTATTGGCGCTCATATTAGATGAAATTTATTAAACACTAAACTAAAAAACTGCATTGATTTATATAGAAAAAATAAATAAATAAATAAAAATACAATCGATGGAATATAAATGGAATGTAAATGAATGCATTAATAAATCATTTTAATCCGATATCGGCTGCATCATTGACGCTTTACAACTTACAAAACAAAAACACTACCTAAAAAGAATTAATAAATAAAAGCAAAATTGAAAAACACGAAATGTGACCTTAAAAAAAGGGACAACTATTATAACACAAAGTCGTAAACATTTGAAAAATTTTCAATTTCTAATCTCGACAGTATGAAAAACAACAAGTAAGAAAATCAAATTCAGTCGTGAACGAATCTTTTCCCAGAGAAAAGGAGAAGAACTAAACCTTGCATACACATAGGCGGATCATTTTTAAATTCATTTGCAAGTTTTTGGGCGATGTCCTCTCTTTTGCGAACGGGAGAATGTGTCCCACAGACACTATACACTTGCGCAGACCGATAGATGGACCGATAAATGCACGAAGATGATTAGGTGCATCATGAAACTCAAATTGAGAAAAAGCATCGCCCATAGAATGTAAGTTCAAATTTTTGTGGGTTTATCTGCTGTAGTTTATGAGTGTATGAGCAAAAATCAATTTTTTAGTCCGTTTGAAAAACAGAGATGTCCCTACATAGTGCAGGGGCGTCTTTCGACCGATTTGCCCCATTTGTAATATCAACCTATGGACAACAACTTTTCATAGTTCCGCTAAATTTGAAACCAGAGGCTTCTAGGAAAATGTTTGTAACAGACGTTACACAAGCGGATAGACGGACATGTTTAAATCGATTCAAAATTTGATGCTATATATACTTTGTAGCGTCTCCAAAGCTCCTCCATGGGCATTTTGATGAAATGAATATACTCCTAACCCTTTTGTGACGGGTATAAAGAACGCCTTAAACGCATCATTCGACGGACAGAATTAGTATTATAAGTCAATTCGATAAAGCTTGGCAGGCTTATGTGAAAAATAAGCGGCGTTTAGCGTGAAAATGTGTTATCAGTTTCAGCTGTACGTAAATAGCTCGGTCGTTTCTATATTGGAAACTTTAATGTTGAAGACGCGCCGCAGATGGTCGACAATTCTTTGAAGAAGTTGATGAAATTTTCGTAAAAATTATGGAAGCGAAGCACACTTCCTCTTGTGAGGTTGTCGCGGGGCTAACCAGAAACAGTTTCGAACCATTTGCATAGAGCTAGTTGTAAAAAAGAACTCATATCTTGTGTACCAGATCGTGTTTCTATCTTCGAATTGATACCAAAACGACAGGACATCGCGTCATTTTTAGAGAAATCGATAACAGGCGATAAAAAGTAGATCGCATGCGGTATTAAGGTGTAAAAAACATCACGTTTTGAAGTCTTTGAAACTGTGCAAGCCGTGGGAGGGCTTAGCTTGACATTACGTAAGAAATTCCGTTGTATTTGGCGTTAATGATGACCGTTGGTTGCACTCTCCACAGTAAACATATAATGAAAGTAAAGTGCACAATTGGGATAAAGTATTCAGAATTTCTTTATAAGAAAAGCTTTGTCTTCCATAACCATGTCAGATCAGACACATCTCCAATGAATCGGATGAAAAGTTGTGTTTGATTGGGAAATTTCGCTGCACACAGTATCTAATTCAAACTTTACGATGTCCGAATACCATTGCAACACATCACCGGGTCCTTAGGAAATCTTCTTCTTTGCAATTGTGCACCAAATGTTATGATTAAATATATAGTTTGTGAAACCGATTCGACGATTCTTTGTCGAAGCGTCTAACCCTACGGACACCTTGAAAAACGGAGACTCGATAGCCTATATTCCTAGCGTTCATCATTTTTCTCAGAATTTATTTCTTTGCTTTAAATAAATTGTAATGAAACGTATGTCAAGCTTTAGAATAGAAAATTAATTTTTTGGTACAATTTTCTGGCTAACTAACTTTTTAGGTTTTTGTTGAATGTTAATGCAGTACATGTGCTCTTTGAATTATGCTTAACGTACCGCAACTGATTGACAAATTAAAGTTTGCACACAATTGTATTACGGCCATCAGTGATTTGTTTGTTGTTCATAATATTACATAACGTGTTCGTTTGTTAAACTTTGTCTAATATTTTCAACTTTATAACGATGACAATTGCATATGTTTTACGTTTTCCAACTAAAAATGTTAGGTAAATTGTAGATATTAGTAACGGGCAGTAAACACATACAGTCAAGCAAGCGGGAAGCAAACAGGGAAGTGAGAACAACGGTAACAACTAACTCATAACTGATAATTTGAATATTTTGTGTGTATATACATACATGTTGAGATTATTGTATTTAAAACAAAACATGTAATTAAACGTACAACGATTATGTATTGTTTCATATGCAATGATTTTGAATGGCGAAATTCAATAGAAATATCTTAAAAAAAAAAAACGAAATCGGATTCGACTTACACCGAATTTTTTGTTACTTGACTTTAATATCATCTACCTGCGTACGTCAATAGATGTGTGTATTAAGTCTGCACGTCAATACGCGGCATTTGATTACTGTAGACCCCATATAACACATGTTCATATAAGACGGAATCGTAAAATATGGCAGGAAAATTGTGACCATGTTTGCATATCACGTTAAAAGAGGCTCGTATAACAGGGTAAAACATGTGTTGATAAATTTGCAACATTTGGGTTTTTTTTTTGTTACAAATGCACTTCTGTAGAGGGTTTTTTGAATTCAACGGCGACCTTTAGTGACTTTATGAAAACAAAAAAAGTTCGTTGGCCTGAGGAAGGTGAAAAATGACAATTTTTGGGAGAGAAAAGAATGTGTGCAAAGTGAATCCTGATCTCTCATATAAAATCATGAGCCAATGGAGACCATAGGTAGGGCAGAATGTATCAGCCATGGGCCATGAGATCAGCCCCCTTCGTAAGTAAGATTCATCTGTCAGTTCGTCCTCACAAAAGTTATAGCACACGTACCTCTTTAGCTTAACCATTAGTGGAGTGTCTATGGGGTGTCTTGTGTATACTGGGTTGATAACTGCTCCTTGTCAATTAAAATCTATCGGGATGGTAGCAGGATGGCGTTTAGGAGGTATGGATAATCCAAAAGCAAGAGTATATCTGTAAATATGACATGCGTAGCGCCGATAGAGCACTACCGAATAAAACTGTGCGATCCACGGGACTCAGGTTTTCCACTTACAGTAATACCACATGTGCTTTGTTATTACTAAACTGTGAACGGTCGACCTGTGACGTCTGACTGCTGGGTGCGGCATTTTGGGAAGTACACGTGGCAGCTATCACCCCCAAATGCTGGGCCATTTAATAATTAGAGGCGTAGAGGAGAAAGTTTCGAACTTTCATATTTTAGTACGCTTGTTTTGGTATAGCTCCCCTCACCTGCAAGCTGCGGGATGCCGGAAGTCACTAATAAATTTCCCGAAGGGTTTATAGGCCTCGCTTAATTTAGCTGCCTAAGCAGCTGTAGATGTTAAACATTGGGACTTCCTGTATTTGATAACACTAAGATCGTATGCTCAATGTAGCTCTAAAAATCGCGTGCGACAATTCGCTCGTTGCAATTGAAGTCTTTCTTCCAAATCTTGAAAAAGTAAACTACGATGGTGTTGCGGTTTTTTCGCTAAAGAGAGAGTTTGGTATTGTGTTCTGTATTGAATACATGCAACCTAACTATTCAACTAGCTTATGCTCATCCTTGTTATAGTTAGCTAAATTTTTTTTTGGTGCATAGCATGCGGAAGCTACATAGTAGACGTATGAACGATTTAAAATCGTTATTATTATTATTTGTGATTGGGTTTTTCGATCTCGAATTCTGGACTTGTATAAGAAGAAATTGTAGGTTGGTTTCTACTTTAGAAGAGAAAATTAAGACTTCAAAAGACAAAGAAACGTGGCTTTACATATATACCCTTACGTTTTACCCAGGAATATATTTGTTTATACCTTACAAAAGAGTTATAAGCCTAATACAACCTGTGCGCAGCATAAAAAATTGTAATAACGAAGTAGCGAACGAGAAAGACTTAAATGAATGCAAGCTTTGATACAGTATTTAAGGCAGTCTTTGCCGGAGAGGCTTTACTAGTTTTAAACAAATAATGTATGCATACATATATAATACTTCAATTATGGCATTAATACGTACTTATAAAGTTGGTGCAACAAACTTGCATAATTGCATTTATAACATGCGCTTAAAAGCACTTCCGGATACATAAAATTATAAAAATTTTTAATTAATCTCATTATTTTCAATTGCGCATAAAGGTGTTATTTTCTACAATGTTTTTCAAAATATGCATAATTTTCCCCTTTTGTAACTCTTTCAAGCTTTGTGCATATATAACGCACTTTCCTTTCTTTAAGCCATAACGTCTGGAAAGAAAGATTTGACATCAATATTTCATATATAACAACTGAAGACCGTATACAATAACCTTCCATATCCATCCAATTCATATGTCAAATTTCTCATCAATTATTTTCGATGAATAAAATTTGATATTCGCAGAGCTATATATATATTATCTGGAAGCCAGGATGAAGCCATGAACCTGGCGAAGTATAGATTTCTTTTTTGAACCGCTTGAAGGGCAGAATCAATTTACGCCTTCTTGCTTGCCTGTCCTTCTGTTCTAATAATCATAACATCGTCAAAAATTTTGTGTGAAAGAATAAATCAGAGTTTTTATGTTTTGTTATATCCATCAGAATAAGAAAATGAAAACTCAGCGAAACGGGATCACAGTTGTCAAGTTGTTGAGATAGCTAAAATTTATTCCTGAATATATCTTATTAAAAATCCGAGCGAATATCATCTATATTTTTGGTCACGCTTCCTCCCCAAAGATTCACCCAAAAATAAGTAACAACGCCTTGAACTATACATAGGTATTTTTCATATTTTTGTAAGTTTAACACATTACCCAATAAGGTCGTAGGTTGAGAGTAAATCCCATAAGTTTTTTAGATAATCACTGGAACAACTGATCGGAATATCATAAAGTTTAGACAGACTTTGTTTGAAAGTTGTGACTATCTACAAATAGAATCGTCAATAGTGGCGGCACCTATATGTCACCGTTGACTTTATTGAGTGATATCTGGCTATGTACAAACCAGCCGTAAGTACTCCCCCCACTTTTATGCTGAAGAGCTGAGAGTATAGTATAATATAATACTGTCGGGAATGCCACACGTATTCCGCCAGCCGACATCCACATACCCGTTATAGGAAAAAACTCCAACTGTCAATCTATAGCAGGTAAGACTTGCAGCCAGTAGCCTTAAAAATAGACAAAGAAGCCTTAAAGTTAGTACATTGATTTCCTATAGGCTGCCAAATAGGCGGTTGAGAAAATCAAACATTCATTCTAACTATGAGTCATAAAATATTATCAAACTATAATATATAAGTTCGCGATATCACTTTTCCATCAACCCAATACAATGCAACTGACTTAATGGCAAAATTGCTGTGTGAGCGCATTTATTCACTGATTATTTTAATTTCCGTCCGCACGAATTAATAAAAAATTACACGGATTGCTGTTGTGCACAATAACAGCACAGCCCGTCACTGCAGTTGATTTCGTGATACAATTATTGATGCTGGTTTGTTATTACTTGTTTTAATATGTATATTTTCATTAATTGAATTATTATTATTGTTATTAATCCGATAATATACGTAAATAACATTTTCTTAGTTAATAAACCAGACTCGTGATTGAATTCAATTTTTATTTATTTCACATTTTATATTCAAGTTGCGTTTAACATGCGAATTCACATTTAATAACATATTAAGGCGCAAGTTTTTTTTTTTTTCCTTTAATTTGCGCTTATAAAATGTTATTATAAATTTATATTTAATAAAATAATTTTCGAAATTTGCGGGAATCGAATGAATAAGACTTCAAACTTAAGCCCTCTCTTTTTCTCTTATCATGGTTAAGATGAGCTTGAAAAGAGAGCGATTTTTTAGATTTAAGTTTGGATAGAATTTAAAGTCTGTCTTCTCTCTTTCTTCTTCGTCTTCTTTATTTTTGAATACCGCTGATTACGATAAGAAATCTCTAGAAATCATGACCGAAAATTAAGACCTGGCTGATCGTGATACGAAGCTATGCATATCCCTCCAAAAACTCGCTTATAACAGAAAACAACTGTTATTTGTGTGTATTGTCGAGATGTAAACGTGCTGTGAAAGCAAACTCAAAAACTGTTCGGTCGTAAATGCAAGGAATTGTATGGGATAAGGTAAGTATTTTCATTTGACATTTACATGACGAACTGTAGAATGTTTGCGCGAAGGCGCATCAGTTCCACACAGCGCAAGTGAATTATACTTCGCCACCGAACGTATGCTTTCAATGTACAAAATACAGTATGTGACTGGCATGCGGCACCAGCAGCTGCGATGCATAAAGTTATCACATAACGTACTTGTCGCGAACAGGTTAACGATGCTTTCTTGCTTATGGGAGTATCCAGATGAAAGATTAATTTCATTCTCGTTCATTATCACGTGCAATAACTACATTAGGGTTCTGATCTATTGAGGCTGAGTTGACAGAGAATGAATTGCAGTAAACCATAATTAGTCAAAGCAATTGGTCAACTTAACCCACAGATTAAACTTTACAAGGCAATGATTTAAAAAAAAAAAATCAAAAGTACAGTAACCTTTGCACATATCCATGATTTCAAAAACTAGGTTCGGATTTTTAAAACTTTTTTCGAGTTGAAATTCCATTCGACGCGAATAGTTGGCACCTAGAACCACCATTTTGAAAAATATTTTATTAAACTTAACTGCATTTGCTAGTCGATCAAAAAGGTTGCGTTGTGCTTGATTGGACCTACGAAATAAATGCGCTTGCGGGCGAAAGCCTTTCATATACACATTCACGCTGCTGATATTTCAATACTCTATCTCACGCGACAATGATTATAAAAATTTAATTTTTTGTTCTGAATTGAATTTTTGATAAATCGTATTGAGACCAATTATTTATTATTTTATTGTCAAACGCCAGATATTTTTTGCATATATTGTTCTTAATTTTTGCCTGCTCTCTCTCTTTTATCTGCAAAGCACGTAATAAATTTTTCGAAAAATTCCGAATTAATTGCCATCAAGATAGTATTTTACAGGAAACCAACAAATGTATCAAATGCATCGCAAAGTAAAGTGTCACGAGATGGAGTACTTACTTTACAGTCAGTGGAGTCTTGCCGAAATAACTAAAGGGAGATGGAGTTATCATTTTTATACCTTATACTACTTGCGGTGGGAGAAGACTTGTGTGAATGAATTCAATGCCTCGAATGACTCTTTCGTTAAAACCGCTGTCCTTGTTCATATGGATACATCAATATTAAATTCAAGGTATAATGCGAGAGATAAATAAGTTACGCATTGTCCTTTAACAGGCAAAGAGGTAGCAAAGAAAAGATGAGAAAGGGATTAAGAATATATTTTTAAGAATATTTTTCATTTTTATTTGTCTTTTGAAACATATAATGCGCGTTGCAATCTTCAACGTGAAAAATCACCACATTTAAAACATTTACAATCGGTCGGCTCACGTAAGCGTATATCCATGGTAGCCATATCGGGCATTGTTAGACGAGTACCGTCTGGATCATAGCAATGAGAAAGTGTAACGATGCGTTCCTTTAGATAGCTTTCGCGACAACAATAGCACTCCTAAGAAAGGGTTAAATAAATATTAAATAAATGTTAATTAACAAGTTTTCATTATTTTTTACTTTCAGAAACCCCGTAGGAGTTATAACCGATGGTTGGACTTGGCTGTTACATAAGCCCTCGCATTTATTGACCATTACATCGGCATTGCAGGTGCGTTGCATACGTCCTAATTCGTCAAATTCTTCTTTTATCAAGTGTATTTCTGACTTGACCGTTTCACAGTTTTCATCTCCCGATCCGGGTGAATACCGCAAGGCTTTAATATTGCGAGAGAACAAAAAAATTAACCAAATTAGCGTAAGTTTGCCAAAGTTTTCATTGACTTTAACCATAATATGTGTTCGTTTATATTTCAACAATAATTTCTCTTTGGCAGTGAAGTAAGAAATCACTTTATTTCTACTAAACAAAAACGTTTTTATATCCTTCTTTGCTGTTGCTGAGCTAAAAGCTAAAAGTGTTCTGTTTTTTTAAAAACAATATCATTAAATATTAATATTTATGATTATATACTGATTGAGAAGTGATGTACGGACGCAGCATGTTTAATGGCATTTTAGTAAACTGAGGTTTTCTTAAATTATGTTACAACTGGAGTGGTTAATAAATCAATCATAACGAGGCCCTTACCAATATTTCTATATTTATACGGAATTATTTGCAAAGTTAAACTGTTTGTATATATGTACACATATTTTCATATCTGGCATAGATTCAATGTTTTACTTTTCGAACATTTTTAAACAAATAGAAATATTTATTATAGCACATGTATATGATATTAAAATGATACTTAGAGAAAGATGGTTTCTGTGAAGCTTCTTCTTAACACTATCAGTCCAAGATTCATTAGGGAGATAAAAAAAACCGGCACAATCTTGCTTATTTAAATATGCTGACATAATAGGTTGACAGAATGCCTACAATTGATGTTTAGGAATACAAGCAAAAATGAGCTGAAACAACAAATAAAAGCACAATAATGGGATAGGACCTACCATTAACTACTCTACGCCACCTTTCAATTATTCTTATAACGATTTTTCAAAGCAATGTGTCATGTGGGATCGAAAAAGTGGTTCGATCCCAGCTATATCCAATAGCGTTCGTCCCTGTGAGAAAACATGTCGGTGTACGAAAATATTCAAAAACGAAATTAAAAGAAATGAAAGAAGAAGAAGAAGAAGAAACATTAAAAGAAGACCAATATTGCAGTCTGTTATTCAAATAGGCCGCAAAGCCAACTATTACAAGCTAAAGCAAATTGCCAAAAACATGGCCAGATGTGAAAGTGAATGAATTTGCTTGGAATAAGGACATAGTCGTGAATTGGCTTAAGTCGTGAATTTTTATTTATCTTTCGCAAAAACATTCAAATTTTTGTTAAGATAAACGGACTTGCCTACAGTTTATGCTTCACTGCGGGTTTCTGCTCGAACCAATTTGCCCCATTTCCAATGCCAACCTGCGTGCAAATACTTGCAATGCTTTTACCAAATTTGAAGTCGATATCTTCATTTTTGCGACCAGGAGAAGCCTCTCTCTCAAGCCGCCTATGAGTGTTACATAGGTTATGATAAAAAACAAAACAAGTATAGCGTCGTTCTTCAGCGGTGGGTATAAAACCCTATCTAAAATTACCAGAAGACCTTTTATGCAATTATTTGCAAGTTGTGGTAAAATTATGCGAAACTACGAACTGGATTGTATGCGATATGCGATGAATAAATTTCCACGTACAATAAGCGAAAATGTTTTCTCTCCATTTGGCCAACGGAATATAAGTTTTTTCTTTCGCCGAATTTTATTTACTGTACTTCTGTTTAATGGTCTTTTCCCTTCATCTTCTTTTGTCATCAAAAATAAAATAAGTAACGTTTGGTTCATCACAACTTCTAGATGTTGTTATTGGTTGTTGCAAACTGGGCCTGCAGCTATCTATTCGTTCTCATTTAACTCGGCACACAATATTCTTTTGGGAATTGTAGTAAGCGCGTGGTGGGTTTTCACATGTCACGCGAACCTTTGACAGTTGTTGAGCGTTGATTAAGCAAGAAGCAATCAATATGACCTCAAGCGGATTTAATTGCAATCAAAGTATGTTTAAAAAAAAAAGAAGGGTCTTTTCTTTCTTCTTGTTTACTTTTAAGCACATATTAAATGTACGACCGCAAGCAATGGATACAATGAAAGAACAACATTGGGGTTAAAACATAGCATCCGCCAATGCTGGTACTTATTAATCTTTTAAGTAATCCTTAATCAGTTAAAATAAATATTGAGATGAAGAATATTAGTGCGGGTTTTCTTGCACTCTATACAGAATCCGGATAAACAATTCGAAAAAACGTTAACGACAATTCACACAGAATTAGCATATTGAATTTGGCTTCACTTTCCTAAAATGTACGCCCACTGATTACAAATTTCATTATATTTTAATTTATTAACTAACTATAAAGCCTAAAGGCCTGTGAGCCATTTCCATAGATACAGTTCTTCTGAAAAAAAAAAACTGCATAAGTGAGAATATAAGTCAGCTAGGTGACGTAATCAGCAAACTTTCGCAGAGACATCCTCAATATGGGGGCCAAAGTTGAGTTTGCGATCAAGCATTACTCCAAGATATTGCAGTGAAATTTCCAGATCAATGGGGTACTCAGATATTTTTATATTGATGTCCCTCAGCAAGGAGAAAATTGAAGAACAGAGTTTAACTTTTGTTCACTTTGACGACGAAACAAATATAATCCCAATTCTTTGCATTATGTATCACTATCGTTTACCCTTATTTATGTGAAAAAATTAACGAGAAAGTAACGGCCAAGATTGACGTTTATTTGTTTATAAACAAACAATATTATATAAACAATGGCGATATCATATAGATATAAATAATCACATAGTTATATGGATATTAATTAACCCACTTCATAAGTATGCTTTTCTGAGAATCTTGATCTTCTTGTTGCGTCAAATACAACAATGTGAGCACAGGAATTCTTCTGCCAACATTCTTCTGTCTTAAGGTTGTATATAAGATCTAAGTTGATTGAGTATTTGTTAGTATTATCTAAATTTTTATTCTTACTTTTCGCTTGCTAAAATAACAAATTAGACTTATTGACGATGGCGCAAGTATATTGTGATATATGGAGGGATTGATGACACAAGTCTCTTTTTATTAGGCGGCAGAAATCTAATGTTAGTCAGCTATATATGTTATTACCTTTTCTAAATCCAATCTTTTTCGTTTTGCTTCTGTTTGTACGTAAGACAATATGCTCTAGATTTCGTTTGGTTTCTCTTTTACAGCTGCATTTTCTTATAAATGCAACCCTGAAAAAGTAATATTAACTCTAGAAGAGCAATACTAGCACAAAAACATGAGCTATCTTTTTCTCGCCTCTTTTGACAGATATGAGAGACTGTATTTTGCAGTTGTTGTGCATACGTATTTCCAAAAAAAAACCCAAAGTAAATGGAAAATAGCAGATAACGATAGCATACCTAATGGCAAATCACTCGAAACGCGAGAGTAATGGTTAAATTCTTTATTGCTAAAGGCTCGACTCTTTTTTTAGGCGTCAAGCGAAAACTTGCAATCATTTACACAGTTATCCGAAATTGATGCATTCCTTTGCAGAGTTGCATTTACACTGCGAATCTATAAAAACATCACTACTCTTGGAACGCTATGACGAAGACGTTTACCAGATCATTTGGAAAATTGATCAATTTATAATAATTTCTCTAAAACTCTATACAAAGCTTTAGCCTGTAGTAACTAAGGCCCTTCTCTTTATGCATACATTACATACACATGATTGTCGATCGTTCCTTACATACATATGGTCCTTTGCTTACTGAAAACCTCTACGTGACCTTACAAGCAGAATTTAGACGCGATATTTATGAAGCTCTTATCATATTAAAAAAAAAAAATCCGAATTTCTCGAAATATTTCCATGTTCTCGCCTATGTTTGAGCCTACTGTGAGTAGGCTTGCTGACAAGAGGACAGCCGAGCATGTACATGAGCATATATATACTTTATGTGGGTGCAGTACGTGTTCTTAGGAGTTCGAAGAGGAGTGATAAAATTAACTTAAGCATATACAATCGATGATTCCAAAATTAACATTGGAGCAGTTTCATTGATGTTGATAATTGCCAGCCATCAAAAGCATGAGAAAAATGACTTTTTAATTATAATATTGAGCAGAACAATAATTTCCCCCGTAGTGAACTTATGCTATGGTTTTAAAAGATGTAAAACCTTCAATAAAGTCAGCCTTCGACATCACTTTTCACATTTTTAATGTTATTGAAAAATAATTTTAAATGAATTTCACTTAACTTAAAACTCAGCGACTGCCACTGTTGTAAATGACTTTCATCGAAATAAATGTGCATTGCTTGAATATTGTGTTTGCATGTTCGGCACCATACCATCACCTGCCTACTCTGCATATCTACAAGGCTACCTGCCTCGAATGTAACGTAAAACAATGTATGATAATTATAGGTTTATATTATATATACATATACATTTTTTTTTTTTTTTGCTCTGATGAGAAACCGCTTTAAAGTAATAACAATATCATCAAAGTGCATTTAATAATTTTTACCTTTTTTTGGAGAATATCTTTAATTTCCCATTGCTGTGGTTAAAGTATGTAATTAAATTTTTCAGAAAATTTTATTTGACTTTTAATTTGAACAATAAAGTCTGGGACGAATATGTTAATACCCAACTTTTGCAGCACATAATTGCAAGACAGTAGAGTAGGGTGAAGAGATCCATTCATTTGATTGCACATGTCATGTCGTATATGGATATATTTTAAATCGTCTTTTCATGCAATTTAGCAGTACCATGAAACCGCTTTAGCTATTTTTTGAAAGCATATATTTTATCATCAAAAACTTAAACTATGCATTACGATTGAAATCAAAGATTTCATAATTTTAAGTTTGGGAAAAAAAAGAAAACTTATATTTTTCTGGTAACTGTTGACGGTTCTTAGATTCAGACTCAGGCAACAAAGAATCTGCGGTAGTGATCGGTCACTAGTTGTAAGAGGTTGCGAGATATTCAAAATATAATAGTCCGTAGTAACAGGCATAATAAAAAAGTTGTCAGGTTGTGAGAACAATAAAATGAAATGTTAAAAAAATCAAAATGATTTTAAAGAAGTGAAATCATTAAAGAGATCCACGAGACCATTAAATGCGCTAGAACTTCGCTTAATGCTGTTATTCATATAACGACTTTTCAAGAGAAGACGTTATACGGGAAGTGGCGGAGAGAGCGACCCAGTGGGAACCAT